TTTCACACGGCCGTGCGAGTCAATTTTTGCCCGTGTCGGCCACACGGCCAGGCCAGGCTGAGTCACACGGCCGTGCAATTATGCACATTTGGCCGTGCGATTTTTGCCGAGAGCTTGCACGGCCTGGGAAAAATTTCGCATGGCCGTGCTTGTTGGTGGCCTGGCCGTGTGCAGTGCTGGAGCCCCGAATTCAACCTGTGTTCACTCAAAAACGACACTTGACTCTGGATCAACGTCTCAAGACTCAAAATAACAAAAAATCAAAGGAAAAAGAGTAAGAAAATGCAAACCAGGGTGGGGTTGCCTCCCCACAAGCGCTTCTTTACCGTCTTTTAGCTGGACGCCAGAGTGGATGCTCAGGGGAGTGTAGGATAAGGTGCCTTCAAGAGCGGATCCACATCGCTCTTGAGGTACAGCTTCAAATGGTGGCCATGTACGCGACGAATGTGGCCACCTGCATTTGCCAGCTCGACTTGGCCATCCGGCAAGATGCAAGCGAGTGAATACTCGGATGGCCAAGGCGGGGGCGGGACCAGCTCGTAGTGGTCTCCGGCGCTCTTTCGAGCAGGCTTAGCTGCCTGCAGTTTCGGTCGCCACTCCTCCTTGATATGTATTTTTGGTGGTGGAGTGGTCAGGAGTGGCGGCGAAGGTGTGGGAGGCGGGTCCTGCAAAATAGGCAGCACAGAAGGATACACGACAGACTCGTGCTCCTGGTGAGATACAGCATGCAGAGGTAACGAAGCAGGTATAGTGTTAGCAACTGAAAACGTTATTCGCTCCGCGCCATCCCTCAAAACTAAGGTCCCATCATGCACATCTATGAGAGCCTTGGCGGTGGCCAGGAAAGGCCTTCCCAGTATAAGAGGCACTTCTGTGTCCTCATTGATGTCCAGGATGACAAAATCCACAGGATATGTGAATTTGCCAACCTTAACCAGAAGGTCTTCCACTATGCCCCTAGGATGCACTACAGATCTGTCAGCTAATTGAAGGGTCATCCTAGTAGCACGGGGTTCGCCTAGGCCTAGTTTCTTGAACAGTTGATATGGCATAACATTGATACTAGCACCTAAATCCGCCAAGGACTTCTCTACATGCAATTTATCGATAGAGCACGGGATAGTAAAACTACCCGGGTCCTTTTTCTTCTGCGGAAGCTTGTTCTGCAGAATAGCCGAGCACTCCTCGCTGAGCTCCACCGTGGCCAGCTCGCTCAGCCTCTGCTTCTTTGAGAGAAGCTCTTTCATACTTAGGCATTTGCGATAGTGCCTCCAGGAAGGGCACTTGGATTCAGCTTCTTAAGCATAGCCATGAAGTTTTCGAACTCTGCCTCCAGCCTATCTCTGTGCAACCGAGTAGGGAAGGGGAGTTTAGGGATATACTCCTTCACTACTGGTTGTGGTTTAGGTGCAGGCACCTCAACCTCCTTCTCTACTTCTTGTTCAACCGCTGGGGACGCTAAAACAGGGCTCTCTCTCTCCGGTTCCCGAGCAGGGGGATCAATAGTCATCTTGCCACTCCTGGTCATGATGGCATTGCAGCGCTCATCCGGGGTCGGCGGGTGAGGGATGGTCTGCCCGGGTAGAGTACCAAGAGCCCTTTGAGCCACTGCCTGGGCCACGCTCCCCAGCTGGGTCTGGATATCCTGCAAAACAGCCTATGTGTTCCTCTGACCAGCTTCAAGAGCCAGGAATTTACCCGAGGCCTTCTCCATGAACTGCTCAATAGTGTTGAATTTCTGAGCACTAGAACTGGCGAGAGAACCCACCAAGTCCCGCAGTTCGGCCATCTGATCATTCTGCACTGGGGGAGCAGGGGCTGCACCTGGCTGCTGGAAAGGTCGCGGCTGTGATTGAGCAGCATGCCCCTGCATGGGCTGATAAAGAGACTGTTGCTGCTGCTAGAATTGCCCCTGTTTGGGCTGATATGGTGGCCTCTGGAAGCCCGGTGGTCCCTGGGGGACTGGTGGTCTGGCATTTGCCCCACCCCAGGAGAAGTTAGGATGCTGGCGCCACCCCTCGTTATAGGTGTTGCTGTAGGGGTCATTGCGCCTGACATTATTGATGAAGTTCACCATCTCCTGGGGTGTGGTTGATTCCTTCATCGCCTGGCAGTCTTCCACCGTGTGATGGGTGCTTTCGCACCAGTGGCAGAGCATCGCCTGCTGCTGTCCGGTCCCTGGAATCATCCCGGAACGATCGATAGCTGAGACCAGCTTCGATACCACCTGCACCAAATCAGATGACTGGGTGCCTACAGCATGCACACCCCGTCCTGGTGCTCGTCTTGATCTCCTGGCAGTGCCCCAGTCGTACCCATTCTCCGCCATCTCCTCAAAGAGTTGATTCAGCTACGGCGGGGTTTTTGTCAGCATGTTCCCGCCACAAACCGAATCAATCAGCTGCTTGTCCTCCGGGAAGAGGGCGTTATAGAAAGTGCCCACCTTGAATGCATCATTGAAACCATGATTGGGACACCTGAGAAAGAGACTGGTGTATCTCTCCCAAGCATCCCTGATGGTCTCATCCTCATCCTGAGCAAAATGTGTAATTTGCTTCTGCAGGTCAACTGTCTTGGATGGAGGATGGTAGCGGGTGAGGAACTTGTCCGCCAGGTTGGCGAACGTGGTGATGGAGCCCGGAGGTCGAGTGTCTAGCCACTCCTTGGCCTGCCCCTCCAGAGTGAATGGGAAGTACCTCAGCTGGATGGCATCTGCTGGTACCCCATTGATCTTGATTCCATCGATGAGCTCGTGGAATCGCCTGAGATGTGATCGGGGGCACTCTCCCTCCTTACCACGGAACACCACTGAACCGCGCAGCATAGTGATTACTGAGGTGCTCACCTCAAAGTTGTTGGCTGGGACATGAGGGTGTTGAATGGGTGACCTCATGTCCGCAGCCCTAGCGGTCCAGTAGGATCCCATGGTCTGCTCTTCCGGGATCACATCACGGTTCTCTGGCCCAGCCATCTCTTCTTCTTCTTCTAACTGCAGCTGTGATAGCTCCTCCTCCGCAGCCAGTCGCGCCTTTAGACCCCGCTTGAAGTTCCTGCAAGTTCGTTCAAGCTCCTGGTCTAATGGTAGTAGTTCTCCCGACTGGCTACGGGTCATGCACTACCTGCACACACTCAGCAGAAGCAACCCGTGAAGGCACACAGGTGGAAGAGATAAAATGCAGTAAATAAAAAGCTAGAGTAACAAATTCTCACGTTTCCCCAATAATCTAGAGGTTCCCCGGCAACGGCGCCAAAAACTTGACACGCCAAAACACAACACCAAACTGCGACCAAGTGTAATCGCAGTCCGGGAATGCAGTAACAGGCAAGTTATATTATCAACCCGGGGTCTAGATCTACTGCTTACTCCGTGATTCTCTATTATCTAGCAAACTAATTCGAGTGATTGTTGTTTAAAAGCAAAAGCAGTAAGAAAGCAGTAAATTGTTCGGTTTTCAAAGTCAGGAAAGAGTCACTCGGGATTGAGTCCCCCTAGCCCCTTAGTTAGGTCCAATTGTAATTACCCTGGGTTGATTCACTGTTGATTAGACTGTGGAAGTTCCGACAGTAGCTTGGAATCTCTTAAGCTGACCAAGCCCTCTCAGTCTAACTACCCGGCAGATGACTGGTCTTCACCGGGATGGAAAGCTGAGGCTATGAACACAGAACTCCACTACTGGAATTGAATTCCACTACAAAGCAGTAAACTGGCTAACTCTCGTATAGCCAATCTCCTACTACCGAATGAAGAGGCTCTAACAACCTAATCAGATTCTATCTATCTCAGGTTGCAGCAGAAATTGAGAAAAGCTTATCAGACTCCAATCAATTCAATAAACATGCATCATTCGATTAAAATCAAACAGTAATATCATCCCAAGTTATTACAATCAAATCCCTAACACAAGGAACTAGGGTTCTTCATACCCAAGTGAGAGAAGGGTTCTACTCCATAGAGAGAGAAGAGAAAACAGTAATCGGAGTAGTCATACTCATAATGATGAGGAAAATCTGCTCCGGGATAATGATTTCCACTCCTATGACTATCTCCAAGCTCGATTCGATGAAACCCAGCTCCAAGATGGCTTCTAGGATGTGTTCTTCGTACTTTCTCTCTCTAGGGCTCTGTTTTTGCTCTGAAAACACGATTCTCCCACTTTTTGCTCGGAATTGGCTCTAAAACCAGAATTTCCCGACTCACACGGGCAGGCCACACGGCCGTGTGACTCACCCACTTGGCCGTGCGGCTTAAAACGCAGCGTATGGTTTAGTTCGATCTTCAGGCTTCTCACACGGCCAGGGTGCACGGCCGTGTGGAAACTCCAGTCTGCCCGTGTTTAGCCTCGGCAAAAATCACACGGCCACAGGTGCAATTTGCACGGCCGTGTGATACCCACTTGTGCCCGTGTTTGCTCTCGCACAATCCCACACGGCCTGGCTTGTCACTTGCACGGCCGTGTGATGCCACGGTCTGCCCGTGCGGCTTCCTTGAAACCTCGCCGCGCGTCCGATCTTCGTCCAATCGACCCCAGACTCGCTCCTAAGCCTCCATTCACGTACTAGGACCTGAAATATCACAAACAAGCACAACCTAGCGTGAAATCGGCCTAAAAACACGAGAATCAAACACCTCAAATGGTGTAAGAACGGGGTTAAAAACATGTGTAAATGACGGTCTATCAAACGCCTTCCGACAGGCATAAACGCCTCCCGATAGGCTCAAAGTTTAAACGCCTTCCGATAGGCATAAACGCCTCCCGATAGGCTCAAAGCTTAAACGTCTTCCGATGGGCTCAGAGGAGAAACGCCTTCCAATAGGCATAAAAATGCCTCCCAACAGGCTCAGAGGAGAAACGCCTCCCGACTGGCTAAGAGAAGACACGCCTCTCAACAGGCTAAACATAAAACACCTCTCGACAGGCTCAAAGCTTAAATGCTTTCCGACAGGCTCAAAGGAGAAACGCCTTCCGATAGGCTAAGAGAATACATGCTTCCCGGCAGACTTAGAGCTTAAACGCCTTCCGACTGGCTCAAAATAAGAAACGCATCCACACAAGCTGGAAGACAGAACTCCGGACCAGTCTAAAAAACCCACATCTCCCGTCCCTGTGAATGTCTTGAATTACACCTCCCAAGTCATGGGGGCCACCCCCCCCCCCCCCCCTAGCACATAGTTAACAACAATGGGAAAATGCATAATCCAGAAGCACGTCAACCACACTCAGAAGCACAACTCCTCTCGACAGGCTCAAAAGGAAAATGCATCATCCAGTCTAAAAAGTAAGGCAAATTAATACGGTTTAAAATATTATTTTACTCCTTCCATTCTTACAGAATACAAGAAGTAAAGAGGCAATTGTTGGGTGTGGTATTAATCCGCCAAATACGACAAACAACTACGTCATCAACGGGCCCAAGCCCATCACCCCATACATCTTATCGGGCCCAAGCCCACGAAAGGAAGCCCAAGACTCCTATAAAAGGAGACTCATGCCTCCAAACCAAGGGGGATCCTCTCCTTCTCTTACTCACTTTCTCGTAAAGTCTCTCTCTACTTTATCTCTCTACATACCACACACTCTCTCTTATATCGTACTAACTTGAGCGTCGGAGCGTAGATCCCGGGGGCCACCCCTGCCTCACAGGTTCTTCCACTCCCTAGGAGATTGAGCGGCGGAGTCCAGATCGGAGCGCGTAATTATTATGTTAGCCCTGGGTACATTCTAGGGTGAAACAATTACCAACACTAATCCCCTCCTGGAGAAAGAAACTCCTGATCCTTCTCCAGCTTCTCCATGGCCCCACTCTCCAAGCTAATCTCCACGTCGATCCCGCCTTCCTTCCCCCGATACAAAAACACCATCCCGTCGAACCGGTTGTTCGACCCGCTCCACACGCTCTCGGGTCGCCCGAACCCGAAATCCACCTCGTAGACCCGAAACCGCGGCGAGCTCCTAACGGCCACGCAGTTCGCCCCAGCGTCCTTGTATTGGAACACTGACTCGCTATGACACAACTCCTAACAAAGGCCAAGAGTAACCAATGAAAGGGACTGCAGTATAGTGGCTCAAATAATAAATATCGAATCCATGGGTCTCTAGAGTTACTATTACTCAGCTTCAGTTCATTATCTAGCAAACCAGATTAAGTTGAAAGAACTAAAACTACTCTAGCAAACTACAGTTAAAGTTAATCTAATTACAGGTTGGGAACTCACTTAGGTATGATTCCCCCTAGCCACTAGCCAGATTAACGATTGATGATCTCTAACTTGTTTCACTTTCATTCACAATGCGGAGAATCCTTGACTAGACCTTGAGTCTCGACTAAAGGAACAAGGCCCTCTTGAGTCAATTTCCTAGAGGGACGTATCCTTCTCTAGAACAACCGATCAAGGCGTTCTGAACTAGATTCCCTCTATCGAATGAGGTTCTCAATCGATACAAAGCATTGAATCAACCCTCGACTAAAGCAATCGATCCAATACTATCAATCTATGGTGCTCTATTGACCTAATCAGGTATTCGCTCTCATAGGATCAAAGCAGAATCAATAATCTCGACTAAAGCAGAATTGAATCATGAAAACATGCATAGATTGAATATGAACTCAAGATTATCAAGCAGGAGTACTCATACAATCATCCAATCAAACAAACATAGCTAGGGTTCCTCAAAACCTAAGTGAAGGGAAGTTACTCCATAGAGAAGAGAGAGACTGCAGTAAGAATCTTCAGATGATCAGTCTTCAAGTCCGGGCTTGTTCCTCGAGCTTCCAAGGCAAAGAAATCCTCCAATTCCACTCCAAGAATGCCCTCAAATCGGCCTCTCTTTCTTTGGTTCGTCCCTTGGGTGTTTGGGATCCAAAACCCAGCTCTCCCTTTCCTTTGGCTTCAATCTGCCTAAAAAACTCGATTCTGGGCAAAACACTGCCGCGGACACGGCCGTGTTTTGCTTTTGCCCGCCCGTGTTTTGCCCCGTGTTAAAAACACGTTCGCGCGCGTTGGCCAAAACACGGTCGTGCCTAAATATGGGCATGGCCGTGTTTTGATTTAGGCGCGCCCGTGTTTTTACTGCCGAACCTGTTCCCCTATATTCAATGCTTCGTTTCTCCCTCGTCCGGACTCCGAATCAGTCGCCGTTTGATCCTAGACGCTCGTAGTCTCGTCCTCTTTCTTTTCATGACAAGCTTGCATGATTATTTGTCCATAAAGTGAGGTAGAAATCCATTCTTCTTCAGGTCATGCCCGAGTTTCTTCTCCCTAATCGCCAATTGATCTCTGATTGACTTGAAACTTGCGCCTATGCTTCACTTTATGTGCTAGAACCTGAAATGTGACAAAGGAACACAACCTAGCATAAAATAGGCCAAAGAAGCGATAATGCAAGCTTAAACGATCAAGAAACAAAGAGGAAAACATGTGCAAATATCGAGTTATCAAACACCTTGGGCTTCGCCTCCCACTCCTCGTTCCTCCGTGTCGTTCTGCTCGATTGCCCCCTGAATCATCGTCGCCCCGAACTCCGACGGTTTCCCCGACAGCAACCCGGCGGGCAGGACCGTGAAGATCGCCTGGATCAGGTTCCCGAAGTAGCTCTCCGGCATCGCCGGGTTGACCCGCTTCCTGCAATCGATGAAGATCGTGAACACTGTGTAGTCCTCCGGGTTTAGCTCCCTCGCCCGGGTTGCGTGGCGCCAGATGTGGGCCCCCAGCGACTGGAACGTCGAGAACAACTTCGAGCCGTTCGATGCCGGGGTGGAGTTGACCGTTGACTTGATCTTGGCGATTGCTGCTTCGGGGAACTTGAACACCTTCTCTCTGAGGATTTTCGCCACGGAATTGTCGTTGTTGGGCTTGGTGAGCGGGTCCGGCGGGGAGAGGTCCAGCTTCACCCGCGTGTTGCGGACCTTGGTCCGTTCCAGAAACGGTGGGACCGAGATGGAAGTGGACTCGCTGCATATCTCGGCCATGTGGACGTCCCGTCCAGGATCGCGTGGTTGAACGCCAAGCCCATCGCCAGCCCGTCTCTTAGCTTCGTCAGCTGCACGACAAAGCAGGTGGTAAATAAATAAAATACATATTTGTAATATACAGATTATTTACTACTCCTCTGTAAATGGGTCCCACACAATTTACTACCAATCAGTAATTCATATATTTGACCCTGCTTTTAGAAATGCTTTTCGGCTTCAAAAGTTGAAGTAGGGGCAAACACCTCTAAAACCTCTATTTTTAAAAAAGCCGAAAAGCATTTTTGTATAACATAAATGCAGAAGCTCCGATTTGGAGCTTCTGCGAAAAACTGTTTTGAAAATACAAGATTATCCTTACCATATTTTAATTTTCTTTCATTTATATCATTTTAAAAATAAAATAAATGATAAAATCATATTATTTAATATTAAATAAATCTAACAAGATCCATTTTGACTACTGTTAATTGTTTAGAATTTTTATTCATAGTTCATATTATAAGTCCTTTATAGTCATTTTATATAACCTCTCATATTAAAAAACACTTCTAATAGTTTTTCAGCCAAACACTCAACTGCTTTTTTTAAAAGTACTTCTCTAAAAGCTCAAGACAGGAGCTGTTTCTGCAAAACCTACAGCAGGGCCATACTAAGCTAATATAATGACGGAATACGACCCATGCAGATCGGCGGTCAAAATAGTTAATTAAAGTCAACAGACGGTAATTTTTTTTGTTTTTAACCTAAATGCCGAACAAGGGGCGGTGGAGGCCTTGGACGTTGAGGACGCCACTGTACGGAATCAAGTCCTTGAACGCCGTGGTACTATCGTCAGCGGCGGCCTCAGAGAATTCGACGCCGGTGCCATCCATGTCGTCGTCGTCGTACTCGACCCTGAAGACGCCTTCGTCGTCCTTCCCCAACCGGCCGGCGAGCTGGTAGACGTCGTCGAGGACACTGGCCAGGCCTTCCTTGAGCTTGGCCGCCACGTCGGCGAATTCGGCGTGGGATTGGTAGATGAGGAGCTTCTGGTTGTAGTAGAAGGCGAGGTAAGGGAGGTCGAAGGTGACCAACTGGTAGTCCTTCCTCCAGATTTTCCTTGACTGCGGCGCTGGCCATGTTTGGGTTGAAAGAAGGGGAAATGAAGTAGATGGGTAGTGAGAAAGGAAACTGAATGAGAAGAAAGCAGAAGAGGGGGATTTGGGCGGTTACGATTGACTTCTTTCTCCTTCGGCGGCTAAATTTGCCGGAACAAAATGGCTTGGAGTACGTACGTGCCTTTATCATGTAGTTTCACAAATGGTTGGACCACGTCAAATCTTTTGTTCCACGCAGATTTTTCAACTTAATCGTTTCGGTAATTAGCAGTGCTATTAAAACCGAGCCGGACCGGCCGGTCGGACCGGTAAAACCGTCACCCGGTCGTCAGTTCGGCTCGGTACACTCAGATAGTCGGAACGGCCCAGAAGGGCGGTTTTCGAGCGGTCGGTTTTTGGCACACGACCCGTCTGCTTAAAAAAAAATGTGTTTGAAGCCGCTATATGCTCACAAGCAGACAGCCGCCGCCGGCCGATCTCTGTCCTCCATCTTCGTCGTCTTCACCGTCTTCAAAAGTTAGAGAGGCAGATCGAGAAACGAAACAGAGAGGGTGATGGAGGTCGATCGTTCATAGTGCAGTATTAGAAGAATTCAATTCCAGAGCATTAGAATAGAAGTAGAAGGTGAAATGATTATTGAGGAGTTTATTTTGGTTCGTGTTTTTTGCAAAAGGAGGGGGATGAAATTAAAAGATAGCTAAAGAGAGGGTGTGAGCGGCGCTGCTGTTTGGTGGGGGTGACTGGTGAGGAGTAGGGTTTTTGTTTTCACTGTTTGGCTCTTTATTTGTTAGATATTAAAAAATAGAGAGATGGGGTGTGCCGTTTAGTTTACGGTTGCTGCTAGGTGGGGTGTAGAGTACGCTTTTAACTTTTTAGTTATTAATTTGTTATATAATATAAAATTATTAAGTGGTACCCGTAAAATACATTTTATTTTAATTACTGAATTGTTAATATACTATCATATATGTCTTCTACTAATAATATTATTATTTATAAGTATCGGTTTTCTAACAGATTTTTAACGATTCATTATCAGTTGGACCACTAAAATGCGAACTGTTCACGTTACCGGGTCATGTCCCGGCTCGGTTTTGACAACATTGACTATTACAGATGACTGTTTATTAGGTACCGGTTCTCAAACGGTTTTTAAACGGTCTAATGCCGGCTGGACCACTAATGACCGAGCCGTTCACGTTACCGGGTCATACTCCGGCTCGGCTTTGACAGCATTGGTAATTAAACTTGCTTGGAGATAGCTAGCTTCTTGTTGAAGTCTATCATTAAGTTTAGACTTTGACTAGTTCTTGGCCTATTGTGTGGTTAAATTAACTTTTATTTGTTATTGCTTACATGCAATGAGGATTCGAAGACCTTCAGGTTACACAAATAGCTACTGCTTGATCAAATACGCATTACAAATATGATGAACAAGGAAATAAATTCCATATTTGTGCAATTATCATTGCTAAATAATTTACGATTAATCCCCAAAACAGAAATAAGGAGATGGTCTTTTATTACTCACTAGCACAGGGCCCGGCTCATTGCCCGGAAGAATTTTGTCGAGGAATATGATATATAATAATGAATATAATAGATTATTTGAAATGCATGAAATGATTGTTTTATACTTTAGTTATGCACATAACATTTTTGAAAGTGATCCAACTATGCATAATATGTTTAGACTTTTGACCTTAATGAAAAGAGAAAAAAAAATATAATATAAGCATTACATATAATTATTGAATGAAAAAAATAACTAATTATCATTCATTACTTAATTAAACCATATAGTTGAATATTAGAGTTGCTTCTCATAATACATACATACATACATATATACATACATAATCAACCTTTAGGATGAAAGAAATTGTGTCATAGAGTTTAATATGTCTTTTAAGTTTTTCCCAATAGAGAGCATTCTTTTTTACTACACTGTTGGTAATGAATATGAAGTTGCTTGATTTGAAATATATAGAACATGATGTTAAGTTGTCGCTAATAGTTAGTTGGACAACGTGTTGTGTACGGACTTCCCAAATTATTCTCAAATCGCAGACATGTCTAGAAACAATGTAGTAATTTTCATGCAGCAAATATTTTTTTCATGAAATAATTCAATAAATAAAAATGTATGAATATAATGTTACTTAAAATATATGTTACTCGTTAGTTGATGAATGAGCGAGAGTATGTGTAACATACATTTATTTTAAAAAGAAAGAAGTTGCAAAGTGTCTTTTGGGTTGCATGAGATCACATATTCTCATTATCGCTAACTGACTTATGCTTTTTTGCAATAGATAGTTCAAAATGTGCTTTAAATCTTTTGTTTCCACCAGTGTAAAAGAATTTTTTGAACCAAAGGATTGTAAAATCGTATCGAAAAAGTTGGTAGTAGAGTATTTTATACTAAAGTCATAATTTAAATCTGGTTCAACGTCCGTTTCATATTGCTAATATTACCTATCGATTTAGCATATGATGTGAAGTTTTATGGTCTAACCGTCGGTACGTACGATCTTTCAATCAATGCAGTTAAAATCGCGATTTAAAACTTAAAAACTTACGGTTTTACGCTTCCAGGTCACCAAAACGCTTTCGTTTCCATATAAAAACTTTAGTGCACAAAATCGGACTAAATTGCGTTTTAAAGCTTAAAAGCTTACGCTTTTACGCTTCTAGTTCACCAAAACGCTTTACACTTTTACGCTTCTAATTCACTAAATGGGTATTATTTTCATGATATTAATTATAAAAGTATATTTTAATAGTAAATTACCAACAATGTGATACATTTGAGATTAAAAGATACATAACAGGTACTTGGACGCATTCTCAGCTTCAATAGAGTAATCTAATTCACTAGCTACAGCTAGGCTCTTCCCAAATTCATTAGCATAGAGGGGAAGGTGGCTTATTGTTAAGATTTATGTTTATGAACTTATTATTAAGAGGCTATTAGCTTCTCTACTTTAGGTATGAATTGCGGGTGCTTATTAACTTTTCTAAATTATGTGCACTCATATTTTACATAGTATATGTCGTACTTAACAGTTTTGTAGTTATTTTAGAGCATGCAAAAACTTACGCTTTTACGCTTTAATTCTATGTTTTACGATTTTACCCCTTTTCTGTTTCTAGGTAGAATCGCGCTTTTGACTGCATTGCTTTCAATACAAACTTTAAATAAAAAACCACTAAAATATTATCATTATCAAATGCTCCTTAAATCTCAGAAATTACAATAATCGTATTAAGGAAAATCTTCCAAATGATAATATTGATTTAGTATTTTAAATTGAATGGAAAAAATATTTCAAATATAATGTCATCTCCTAAAATAAATCAAAACTCAACATAATAGGGCCAAGAATATCCACTAATCAAAACATAAGGGCAATTATTTCACACTATCTAATTTTTCTCCTCTTTTAAATGTCCTCTCACTCTCTCTTTGCCTTACTCTTTGTTTTTCCATTTGTTATTCCATCTCTCTCTCAATTTTGTATCTCACAACTCACCCCCTTTTCCCTTATTTTTTCTTTCTACCGTTTGGAATAGAAAGAAACCTATAAACATCTCAACTACTTCTCCAATTTTGCATTCGAAATACTTATTCTCAATTCACAATCGATAGTGTGAATCAGAGTACCTGAAACCTGGCGAATAGATGGTCGCTTATTCATCGACGGAGCAAAGTAGCTTGATAGTTTGTGAATAAACTAATTTTTAAAAATGATAAAAATCAGAACTCGTTAAACCAATCGAGTGAGTGTAACATTAGTTCATCGCTTAAAGCCTTAAACCATTGTATTTATCTAAAGAATCAAAATGCGTAATCAGGTTCATCTTCACTTTACATGTATTTGTCGTAAAAATTCATTACACATAAAAAATGGTTTTGAACTGAAGCCATATTAAGATAAATCTCATCTTATGATTATGGGATCCATGTCAGATTAGCAAAAGTTCTAACTTCTAAGGCTATTGGTCAACCAGACTGAAAATTAATAATAATTTAAGAATTATATATCGCTTCCAAAATGTTCAATACTCCAATTCAGTATGCAATATCCAATATTCAAACAAATGATATATGAGTTTCAACCCTTGCTCAAATTTTTCCCCACATTCCTCACACACCTTTGCAACGAAATACTAAATTCCAATTTCTTTTTCACTTTACTTGCTTCTAAAATTATTGTTGACGTTGTTTGTTATTACTGCAAGCTGTTAAAAAAGACTTTTCAGCTATGAAGTTAATCAAGAATGATTTTATAAATGAATTTTTAGTTGTATACATTGAAAAGGTTTGACTCTCAAAATAAATAGTGAATGTATTCTATAAAGCTTTTAGAATATGAGCCGTCACACATTGATGTGAGAAACTACTAAATAATTCAAGTTTTATATGTTATTTTTAGAATATTTTATTTTTATCAAATGATGCGTTTCTCCATAAAAACAGGTGCTCACCATTATAGACTGTGTGGTGCTTGCACTTGTGCGAAAGCCCTTGAAGTTTAAGTCTGGTACGACCCATGAAGCATTCTTGCTTGTACATAGCCGATCCATATACATTGTCTTCATGGTATGCTCTAACTGTGTCGTGCTAGCTCGACCATGTACCTAGGTATAGTTATATGCATTATAATAATTAAGTTTCTACCTATTCACAACATCAAGATAAAAATAGTAATAAATGCACCCAGTATTCAATTTTGACTACCTGATGAAATACTACATTTGAATAAATTACAAAGGATGTCACACATAATAATTATACCTCTAAACATACATAAATATTTCAAACATCGCAAATATTAAGATTAAATTAATTGTTATAAAGAGTAAAAATTGTATAGTGAGGTTAATTATAATACATTTATATGTTCATGCCCTATAAATTGATCAACACATCAGATCCAAAACTGACGAAATGAAAATCACATTAAACTCGA